CAGCTAAATGGCATTTAATGTGCGCATCTTCTCGTCTTCTGCTCGCCCCTCTGCAACACACACACAGGTCACACGACGCTGGGCAGCCCCAAGTATAGCTTCAGCACGCTGGAATCACGCAAGTCGTCCACGGGCAGGCAGCGCCAGCGTTTCGTCCGCAAGAGCTCCCTGCCGCTGGAGGGGAACGGAGGTGGCGGCCACACGAGCAGCTTGGGCCTCTGCCGGGCGGAGAGTTTTCCGGTGCTGCTGGACTGCAGCCACGGCGCCGGCATTGTGCTGGGCGCAGCAAGCAGCTGCGGACGTGCCGTCAGCATTGCCCAGATCCTGCCCGACTCGGTGGCCGATCGCAGCGGCTGCATCCAGCCGGGTGATCGCATTGTGGCCATCAATAAGATGTACAGCCTGGACGCGGCCGCGATGCGCCAGCTGCTGGATGGGCGCGCCGGCAGCGGTGCGCCCGCTGCGGCCAACTGGCTGGAGCTGGAGGTGGAGTTCGATATGCCCGATGCGGTGGTGCCCTCCAGTGGCGTCTTCAATGTCAAACTGCTCCGCGCGGCCAAGTCCGGCCTCGGCCTCAGCGTAAGCGGCTCCAGTCATGCGGGCCTGGTCATATCGGATGTCAAAATGGGCAGTCCCGCCCATCGCTGTGGCTCGCTGCGGCCGGGCGACATACTGCTCGCTGTGGATCAGCATCCCGTACAGCATTTCAATGTGGATGCATTGCTGAAGGAGCTGCCCACGCCCACGCCCACGCCGACGGCGACGAGCAGTCCGGACTACACCACGCTGACCATCAGGCGGGTGGTGCTGCCCGACTTTCTGCCCAGCCCCATCTACAGCAACTGCACCACCAGCACCACCGGCGCCGTGGTGGCCGGCGAGAATGAGCTCTACAGCAGCGCCTATGTGGCCACAAAGTATGGCGAGGCCAAGTACAACGATTGCATCTCGCTAAAGTCGAGCACACCGCAGCCGGATTACTTTCGCGGCGCCAGCCTGGACGAGACGGGCAGCCTGCAGTCCGTGCAGCTGCGGCATGCGGCGCCGAATGGCGGATGGCCGGCGAACAGTCGCTCCTTTGCCGGTGCGCCGAACACACAGAGTCTGACCACGGAGCTGCCCGTCGAGGAGGAGGATGAACAGGATCAGGATCAGGATGAGGATACGGATGCGAATGATCAGCAGCAGTTGCAGTCGCAGCCGCATCACGCCGCATACGCCGGCTACGAGCTGAATCGCTATGCCAGGTGAGTGGCCCAGTTAGTTAGAGCAAGTGCAGCAGGCTAATCTGTCAATGCTCTACGATACTGTACGATAGTGTGGACTGCACGGCCTTGCCGCCGCCGATGGAGAGCAAGGTGTACGGCTCGGCGGCCAGTTCGAGCAGCAAGAGCAGCGGCAGCAGCCTGCACCAGATCATCTTTACGGTGCGCCTGGAGCCCAAGGGCGGACTCCTGGGCATAACGCTGGCTGGCAGCGAGGATATCACCAAACCCATAACCATAAGCGGCCTGGTGGAAGGTAAGTGCGCAAGTCGCCAATTCGGCCAATTCGTAGCATTAACTAGAGACGGATGCACTTGCTCCGCATCTGCTTGCAGGCGGCATTGCGCACAAGAACGGCCAGATCCATGTCGGCGACCAGCTGCTGGCCATTGATGAGCACTCGGTGCAGGGCATGCCGCTCTCGCATGCCACCAGCCAGCTGCACAATCTGGGCGACCTGGTCGACCTGAAGATACTGCGCAGTCACGACATCAACAACAGCGCCAGCGGCAACTGCAGCCTGCCGGCCAACCAGGCTATCTATGCCAAGGTGCAGCGTCGACCGCGCAGTCCCTCCGCCAACACGGAGGCGAGCAACAACAATGCCAAGGATCAGCAGCAGTCGCAGTCGCAGCAGCAGCAGCGCATCTTCCATGTCACACTTTACAAGGACAAGGTCTACGATGACTATGGCTTCTCCGTCTCGGACGGGCTCTACGAGCGCGGCGTCTTCATCAATCGCATACGCAGCGGCGGACCCGCGGACATGTGCGGCCAGCTGAAGCCCTTCGATCGCATCATGCAGGCAAGTGCAGATCGCCAGATCCTTGGCAAACCCATTCAAATCCTTGCGTTCACAGGTCAACGAGATGAAGACCCAGGACTTTGACTGCTGCCTCACCGTGCCGCTGATCGCCGCCGCCGGCGACAAGATCGAGATGATCATGCAGCGCTCCGAGTGAGACGCCCAAAGTTTCCCACTTTCTTTTCTTTTCTATTCTTTTCTATTTTTTTTAATCTTTAACTAGTTGTATCTTAAGTCTTAAAGCTAAGTGCCATTTTTTTTTGTATCTAACTGAGAGTCGACGCCGAGCTGCCTTTCCGGTCGCAAAACCGATCCCCAACCAAAACCCAGACCAACCCACCCACTTCCTGGTATGCCTTGACTAATTTTAGCGACAATAAGCGCCAAGTGCCTGCAAGTTTTTTTTTTTTAATAATAATATATACATAATTACATTTATATATATACACCTATATATATATATATATATATATATATATGTAGAGCGAGAGATTAATATACCAACGATTGTCTACCATAACCAAATAAAAAATAAAAAAGAGAGAGAAAATTGCATCATTAAATAGCTCCATACGAAAATAATTCATAATTCTACAATTATTTTATATTATTTTACTTTATGTATATATGCGAGTTTATAAAAAGTCAACATAAATTAACCTCAAGATGTTTTAAGCCCCGAACCCAGACCGACGAAGGCTTTTTGATCGCATTAAGAATCGAAATTTTAAGTATATATTATCGTATTTTCCATATCTCACAATTTGCACAATATCGATAATTATCGATTTTGAGGTTTTTCCGAGCAAAACTCGGAAGTCATAAAACTCTGATAAGCCGAACTTGGTATATTGGCTCACGTATAGCATACATATATAACATAACAGAGTTGCCAGACTGCTCAGAAACTGTTAACTGCAAGCAGTGTTTGACAGCATGTTAAAGTAGCTGTCAGTTTTGATTTACTTTTGAAATGGTAATAATTATTCAAATATGAAGAACTTCGTGCGGGCAGGACCCCAAAAATCCCAATTATATTAGAAGCTTTAACTTTAACTGTTCACAGGTTGATCGGAGAAATTTGAGTTTAGCAATCGCTCGACTATTTTGGAGGCACGTTTCTGTTGATCAAGTGGCATTTTATACTTATCTCATTTGTTACTAGGTTGGCATATCGCCCCCAGGTTCCTCTGGGGCTGCTCCGATTACGTTATTCAATAATGTACTTTGAGATCGTAAACAAATATAGTTTGTGCGCAAATGTCATACGCAGAAAAATTGTCGGACGTCAACGCCCTTCTGTCCCTCTACGGCAACGATTATCGATGAGTTTCTGGAAAACAAATTTTTTGAAATGCAATAAAAACAAACGCATTTTATTTACAGAAGTAAACATTCACATATCAGCACGCCGATCCATAAGTAATACTTAAGCCGGAAACGAATTCAATACCCTGCAGCCAATATAAACAAATGGAGTGCAACAGAAAGTAACGCCAATTAGTGAATGCGTGGCAGATATCGAGGCATTAAGGTTCTTATGGGATATATGTATATATATCAAAATGGGGGTAGTTCATAGTATTATATCTATCCAATCGAACTCGGCTACTATTAACGCTAGAAAGTCCATGTCTCATCTATGAGCTCTATCCAGGAGTGTAGGGTATAGCAAGTATCGCCTAAGGGATACTTTTACGATAGTTACGCAAAGATCGAATTGCTTAACAATCAAATATTCACACTGTCAAAATGGCAATGGATTTCTGTGCGCTTTTAACAGGGTATCTCAGGGATCGTACAAATGCTTTTTTTTTTGCTGTAATCTGAGAATGCAAATGTCTGTGAAAGATTGCGCCTGATAGTTCTTAGTAGAAACTAAAAGATTAACTCTCACATAGCATACATATATGAAATCTATTTTTAAACCAAAGTTAACCACTGTGCAGCGCCCCGCTGCCCGCTGCTCGCTGCCCGCTGCGGGCACAGCTGTGTGCATATCCCCTGAGAGAGAGAGAGAGACAGGCAGACATAGAGAGAGAGGGAGAGAGGGAGACGGGCAACAACAACAACAACAAGAAGAAGATTGATGTAGAAAGCAAACGATGATAAGCCAGCTGAGCTGGTTTGTTCTGGGCGCGCTCCGCTCCGCTCCAGCAGCTGTGGAGCCAATTGACGTCAATGGCGCATCGAGATCCTGGTGGAAAAGTCAAGCGGCCAGCGAGCCGGTAAACACCTTTGCCAATGGACTTTGGACAATTGTTTGTTTGTTTGTTTTTGCCGAATCCGTAACGGAACCAGATCACTGATAACAGGCAGCCACCCGCTTCGCAGCCATTGACAGTAACTGCAATCTGCCTCCCCTCCCCACCCCCTACACACACACACACACACACACACAAATAGGAGGCTTGCCAGCAGAGCGCGCTTGACACAGTTTCTATTTGTGTTTCGCCGATTGGCAAGCGATAAGCGCGCTCCACTGTACAGTCATCTCTCTGGGCAAGGCCTTATCAGTGCGAAATATTCGAAATAGTCTTTGGCGTTTTCTCATTTTTGGGCGCTTCTTCATCGCGCGCTACTGTTACAGCGTGAGCTTTAAGCTTTGGCGGCGCAGCGACTTTGATCTTCGACGGCTGCTGCGTCGCATCGAGCTTATCGTGTTAAAGTGCATCTGACAGCGACGTCGCCGTCGCCGTCGTCGTCGCAGTCGCAGTCGCTGTCGCCGACGCGTTTTGTACTTTGCATCTGAGCGTGCGCTTAGCGGGGGGTTGTTGAGCGCGACAAGGCGAACGGCGGGTAAAGCTTATCTCAGTGCCGTTATACCCCGCTCAGCAGCAGCAGCAGCAGCAGCAGCAGCAGCAGCAGCGACGTCCGAGGCCGAAGCTCAAGTCGTTGGGCATACAAATTGCGTGGCGTGCAGCTGATCGGCTCAGTGCTCTGTCGGTCGTCGTACGCAACAGACAACGTTGGCGAGTAGCCAGCAATAAGTAACGAGTAACGAATAACGTGTAACGTGTAACGTGTAACGAGTCACGATTAGCGAAAGAACGTTTTGATCCCCGTCGCTGGTTAATAAAAGAAACGTGCCAAAAACTTGAGTACTGAATAAATGGTCATATACTTGGACTCAAAGTGAACGCCGTCGAGTGGTCAGCTAGACAGACAGAGAGCGAGAGACAGAGAGAGAGGGACAGGTGCGCGATTTGGCGCCGATAAGATTAATTTAATTAAAAGCAACAGCAACAATTGTCTTAGTTAAGCTATCTATTGAATAGAAGAAAGAAAAAGAATTAACAATCGGTCGTGCTGTGCAGTCTAGGGCCTGCCGAAAATGTAGACAGTCTGCCACAGGGCAGCAACAGGTGAACTACAACAACAACAACAACGAGAAGTAGAAGAACGACAAGAACAACAATTAAAAGCACAGCGAGAAGAGTTGAGTCAGCAAGATGTATGTGGCCAACACAACCGGCGGCCTCATGCTGCAGACCATGCTCTACTTGGCCAACCACACGAGCCGCGCGGCAGTCAACACGCTGATCGATCTGCCGCCGGCGCCCAAAAGCGGTAAGTCATCCGACCAGGTCAGCCAGACAGGTATCTCTATCAGTTTGCCCAATGCGACTGAGTGCAACTCAGTTGCCCAATTCACCACAAAGAAAATAGTAACAACGAACAGTAAATACCCTTCTTTCTCAAAGATATATTGGAATAAGAAAACTTTTTCACATAAAAACCAATTTCTTGCTAAAAAATTGCCCAATTCTCCACCACAAAGAAAAAAATGTCAGAAAAGAACGCCACAACGAACACTAAATACCCTTCTTTCTTAAAGATATCTTGGAATAAACTCTTTCTTATAAAAACCAATTTCTTGCTATATATTATAGTCGTTCGATATTGATAAGTTAAAATTCCTGGTTTCTATACGTAAGATTATACGCCATAAATTAACATATTTATATACATGTTTTAATAGTGCTCGCATTCCGGAAGGCATATGCCTACATATAGTATACCCTCTATCGACCCTGAACTCATCAAATGCACGCATTTGGCATTGGGCAACAAAATATTTAAATTACATTGAATTTAAGCGAAAACTCGACCAAGAAATGTGTTTGATAATTGAGAAACTTAACGCTAAAATTTCATATATTTTCTATATTTTTGATAATGTTTCTTTTCTATGCACATTCAGTCAAATCTTTGATAAGCCTTTCCATAAACTCAAGAGTCTTCTTTGGAAGAAATGGACACAAGCTTAGCCTTAAGCTTAATGAGTGTCCAGTCCATTTGCAAGCTTGACTTGGGCTGTAATTAACAAGTTAACAACAGTGTTAAACGCTTTACTAATTACTAAATCAATTTGTTAATTAAGTGGCTTAGTCATAGGCACTACCAAAGCTCAACATTCGTTCTAATCGAATTGGCTTCGATGTTAGCTCCAATTCGAGCTTTCGTATAATCAATATATAAGCAACACATCATGCAACAGCAGGGTATTTGCGGGGCGACTACTCCCGCTCCAGGGTAGCCAGTGGCAATGTCTGTTTAGGGAATTCTTTAAGAAAATGCCAACTGATTTTGCCGTTGACGTATTCACCAACTATTTGAACGCTTAGTTGGACCGAAAGTTGTTCGGCTTGGGCCCAAGTCAAACGAGATCCGACAAGATCCATGTCCAGCGGCGGCTTCTGCGTCGCTTGGGCAAACAGAAATTCTGGTTTCGAGCGCAAGATTGGGCGCGCTGCCAAAGGGAAAGCGTTTAGAGTGCATTCGACGTGCTGTCCAAAGATTCGGATAGTTGCTTCAATTAAATATGAGAAGAAGAAGAGTCGAAAAAAAAGAATCGGAAAGCGTGCAAATTGCAATTACGACTACGCCTATCTAATAATATATAAGAAAATAACTTCCGATATCCAAAAAAAAAAACAAAAAAAAACAAACAACAACAAGTCAATTGCGATAAGACAACAACTCCAACAATGACAATGCCGACAGACATTTGGGCATTCCATCATCTGGCCATTTGCTCACTTGGCCATTTGTTCATTTGGTCATTTGTTCATTTGGTCATTTGGTCATCGATCGGCCGGATTTCGAGTGCCACGCAACGCTGGGCAGCCGCCGAAGGCTGTCGACAGCGGAAGAAGGAATCCAATAAGAAACATGTTGCGCTTGAGCAAACAGTCAATGAGATGCCAAAGTTAACAGAACAGAATTTTAAACAGCTGCTGTTTTAGTGCCTTAACATAACCAGACAACCGTTAACAGTGCGTCCTAACAGTACTACTGGGTAACAGCTGTTAAGGTCAGACTGCAGCAGTAACTTAGTTTAACAGACAACTGTTAGCAGTGGTGAGCTAGAAATGTAAATGCTGCCTAAAGACATTTTAAAATATTAACAGAACAGAATGTTAAACAGCTGCTGTTTTAGTGCCTTAACATAGCCAGACAACCGTTAGCAGTGCGTCCTAACAGCACTGCTTGGTAACAGCTGTTAAGGTCAGACTGCAGCAGTAGCTTAGCTTAAATTTAAATGAGCTTGAAATGTAAATGTGGCTTAAAGACATTTTTAAAATATACGACTCAGTCGGCTTAGGAGTTCATTTTGAATATAAGCGACAAATGTTAGTAACAGCGCACTGTTGCGGCCATTTAAATGCGGTTTTAATAGAATTCATTTTAAATTTCCGAATAAGTTAGAGAAAATGTTATAGAGAGCTGTACAACAGCACCTTAAAATAGCATACAACGCAATGTTAAGGCATATTGATAAAGTTTGAAAATGTATCGACCCTTTAGAAGATATAACAACAAAACCTTTTTGAATATATTTAAATGGAGAACCTGATGGAATGTAAATTTTCAATAGAAGAAATGTGAGTCCTTTACAGTGGCTTAACATAGCATTTAACCGTTAGCAAGAGCGCACTGTTAACACATTTTTACACAGTTGCAAAAATGTAATTAAATGGAGACCTTGGCTGAGCGTAAATATCTATTAGAAGAAATGTAGGTTTATAACAGTGGCTTAACATAGCATTCAACTGTTAGCATGAGAGCTCTGTTAAGAGACTTTAACAACGTTTCAGCAGAGCAAGCCAATGTAAAATCCATTCTAATAACAACTTTTCTTGATTGTACAATTAATGAATTTAAAGCAAATGCCCAAGCGAGCTTTCAACAGCACCTTAACAGATCACACAGCTGTCAATTACAGTGCACTGTTAAGGTAACTCGCCAGGCATCTGTTGCACCTTAACATAGCAACCAAATGTTGATAACATTGTTAACAGTTTTCATGACATTTTCTCTCGTTTGCTAACAGACATCAACGAGGTGAAATGCTTTGGCGTCTACGGCTGCTTTCCCATCAACGGACCCTGGAACACGGTCACGCGGACGATAAATGTGCATCCGCAGAAGCCCTCCGAGATTGAGCCGCACTTCACGTTGCACACGCGTCCCGCCATGGATCAGGCCAAGTATATAGATCTCAATGATCCGGACAGCGTTCAGGGATTGGGCATCAATGAGCTGGGCAAGATCTATCTGCTGGTCCACGGCTATCTGGAGTTCGGCGAAATACCCTGGATGCTGGAGATGGGCCGGGCGCTGCTCAACCATTGTCCGGAGGGCGAGTGCGCTGTCATCCTGATCGATTGGGGCGGCGGCGCGAGTCCGCCGTACGTCCAGGCGGTGGCCAATATACGGCTGGTGGGTGCGATAACCGCGCATGTGATTCACATGCTGTACGAGGAGCTGCGTCTGCCCAATCTGGACAATGTGCACATCATTGGCCATTCGCTGGGGGCCCATCTATCCGGCTATGCCGGCCACCATTTGCAGCATGACTTTGGCCTCAAGCTGGGCCGCATCTCTGGCCTGGATCCGGCGGCGCCGCTCTTCACGGACACCGATCCCATTGTCCGCTTGGACCGCACCGATGCCCACTTTGTCGACATTCTGCACACGGATGCCAATCCGTTGATGAAGGGCGGCCTCGGCCTCATCCAGCGTGTTGGTCACGTCGACTTCTATCCGAACGGCGGCTTCGATAATCCCGGCTGTGACAAGAAGCTGCAGGACGTGATGAAGAGCAATCGCAAGGGCAGCCTCTTCTCCACCATGCAGGAGTTCCTCGGCTGCAATCACATACGCAGCGAGCAGTACTACACGGAGAGCATTGGCAGCAAGTGCCCCTTCATGGGCATCACCTGTGACTCCTTCGATGTAAGTGCCGGCCAGCATCTCGATTGCCCTTGTTCATTTTTTCGATTTCCCTTAGAGCTTCAAGGATGTCAAGTGCGGCAGCTGCGATGAGCCTGGGCGTCTCTGCATGCGCATGGGCTTCCACAGCCAGCAGGACTACGAGGAGCAGCTGGCGCGTGGTCTACTCAAGCCGCAGGATCCGCCGCCGGTCTTCTATCTGATGACCGGCGATCGGAAACCCTTCTGCCGGCAGCACTACAAGATCACGGTGCGCGTCTCCAGTCACGATGAGAGCACCCTGCATGGCGGCGAGATCGGCACACTCTCCATACAGCTGCACGAGGAGCACAACAAGAAGAAGACCACCGAGCGGATGAAGTTCTCGCCCAAGGCCATGTACTTTGAGCCGGGCTTTGACTATACGGCCTTGGTGCCGGGCAGGGATCTGCAGAAGCCCGGCCATGCCAGCGTCTACTGGGAGTACCAGACGAACATACTCAATCCGTTAACGTGGCGCATTCTCTCCGCCCCGCGCATCTATCTCGAGTACATACTCATCGAGTCGCTCGAGTCGAGCGATACCTATCTGAAGCTCTGTCCGCTGCACGAGGGCGCCATACTCTCCGGCGCCGAGAATGTCCTGCACACGCGCTACTGCAAGGACTAGCCGTCCAAGGTGTGACGGGGCGGGGCGAGGCGTGGCCAGTGGCAAATTCCAAGAATTCTAGCAAATAGCCGAAAGCTCTTCTCGGCGCAGCCTAAAAGGCGGCAACAGAATTGATTGCGCTCAGTCGAGTCACTCGGCCGCAGGGTTGGTGGCTTAGCTGGGGAACAGAAGACAGCTCTGTTCCCCCTTTTACTTTTAGCCTGGGCACACACCGAAAAGCCTTTTGTATTTTATTATAGTATTCGTTTAATTCATAAGCTATTCAAATTGCAGCGGAAGAGGAAGAGCACAATTTTAATTTATATATGTGCATGTGTATATGTAATTGTTATTTATGCTAATCCATTTTTTTTTTTGTAATATACTTAATTAGCGTATTTGTGAACAGAATTTTGTTTGAAAATAAAACAAATGGAAACCTAACGTAATTTCACTCTTACTCTTACTCAAATCTCATCTGATTGAGGGAGAACTCTGCTCCTAATCAATTTAAAAAAAACGTTCAACTCAGCAGCCCGAGCTTCTTGAAGCCTGTCATACAAAATATCATACAAATAGAAACTCTTTAGTGTGCTTCGCATTTCGACACAGAGCACATCGAAAGCATATTTGGAAAAAAAGATTTACAAAAAAAAAAATGGATCAAATTTTAATAAGATTCTAGACAAAAGGACTACGTACAAATGTTGTGCTTCTTCTTAATCGTAAGTTTCTGGCTTTAGTTACTTTATATACCCTGTAAACTCTTGCTTGCAGTCTCCGCCGTAGCTTGGATAGGTCTAGGCTAGGTTAGGTCGCTTGACAGGGATGAGGCAAGAGGCAAAATGCCGCATTATGGAGGTAAGTGGGCAGCACTCCCCAACTGGACAACTAATCCCAAGGCTCCTCTCCTCTTTATAGAGGGCTGACCGTGTAATATATCCACACTGTTAAAAATTGCGATTCGATTAAGTGTATCAAAATTTTAAGTATCGTGTATGACGTAACTATTTACACAGAAAATATGAAAAAGAAAAAGTAAATTATGATTAAATGTTTGCATTGACTGGAACCGTGAGAGCATAAAATGTTAATTGGTATTTTTTAAGCCAATATTCGCAAGGATATTTGAAAATTTGGAAATTAATCGGAGGTTTCAATATTTTCCGCAAATTATGCACTGCTTGAATTGCTTTTCCGTAAACTCTTAGTCTCTACAGTAAAGCTCTTTCGGTTTGAATTGTGCGTTGAGCATCAGTCAGTCAGTCAATCTGCCTGTCAATCATTTAATCAGTCAATCAGTCGATCAGTAAGTCAACCAGCCAATCAGTCATTCAGTCTATTAGTCTGTCAATCAGCTAATCGGTCTGTCAGTCAATCACTGAGTGAATCAGTCAGTCAGTCCATAACCTAATCAGTCAGCATAAATATTTGAATATATTGGTGACAGAAGAACTGAAGCTGATATTAAGCGCATTTAGCAATAGTCAATAAGTCGATCAGCCAGTCAGTCAGTCAGTCAGTCAGTCAGTCAATCAGTCAATTCGTTAGTCAGTTTGTCAATAAGCATTCAGTCAATCAGTCGATCAATCGATCAGTCATTCAGTCTATTAGTCTGCCAATCAGCTAATCAAACAGTCAGTCAGTCAATCAATCAGTCAGTCGATCAGTTGGTTAATCTGTCAATAAGCTAATCAGTCAGTCAGTCAATCAGTAAGTCAATCATCCAATCAGGCAATCAGTCATTCAGTCTATTTGTCTGCCAATCAGCTAACCAATCAGTCATTCAATCAGTCGATCTGTCATTCAGTCCATCAGACAGTCAATCAGCCAATTAGTCAATCATATACATATATATGTATATATTCTTGATCCGTGGCGACAGTTGGGCGCGATTGATGATAATTTAAAAAATTTCTTCGCCTGAAATTTCGTGTGAACTTTATGATTCGGATCAGCTGTTGTTTCTAATGAATTAAACACACGCACACACACACACGCATACACACGCACACACACACGCACACAGACACATTTCATCTTGTGGATCCTTGTTTTTGTTGTTAATAATTTAAATGCTTATCTCGTCGACAGTATCTATCGCATGCGTGTGTATCTTTTACATATAATTGATACTATCTGCATTTGATTTGACTCGTTTCTGTTTCTGTTTCAGCCTCTTCCCCGCCCCGCCCCGCCCCGCCTCGCTCCGCCCTGCTCTTCTCTCGACTCACCTTTCAATGAGAGGTTGTTGTTGTTGTTGTTTTGGACATTCCACAGGTTGTTGGCCAAGGCCCAAAGTTCTGCTGTCGACTTGTATCTTTTTAAATACCCTTGTAGAGGGTATCACAATATTCTCACGAACTGTAATCCACATAAAGAAAGACAATACGTACCCTTTAAGGTGTGTACATATATATGAGTATATATATGTATATATTCCTGATCCGTGGCCGAATCGAGTCTGTCCGTCCGTCCGTCCGTCCGTCCGTCTGTTTCCTTCAGCTTAAAGTCTATCGCCAGCAAACTCTGGATAGGTCGGCTTTTCTGTTGCCACTGCCGGATCGAACCACTATATCATATAGCACGATCGGGATTCTCCAGATAATCTGAGAGCAAAGTCCTAATCGGGTAATTGGGTTCTTGTGTGATATTCTGATCTATCATACTACTTGCTGAGCCGCATCAAATCGGTCTACTATAGCATATCTATCCTATAGGAAGAATCGGTTGAAAGTGAAGCACAGCCAAGTCTTAGTCCAAGTATTTAAGGGTATTTAATCTACGGCTTGCCGATGACAGAGATTCTTCTGGCTCTTGCGGTTGCATTCACACTGCCCTTCCCCCACCCCTCTTACCCGCTTACCCGCTTACCCCTTACTCCTCTACAGCCGCTGGCCTTGCCTGTTGATGATCATGTTGACAATCTTTGGCAGCGGGCACTTCTTGGAATTTGGTCTGTTTTGAAAAACCTTTTCTTTGTTTTTGTTCTTGTTTTTTTTTTGGTCATTTTTATTCTTTTGTTTTTCTGGCCATGTTTTTGGTGGTTTCTGGACGTTTCCTCTAATACGCACGCATATTCATGAATAATGTTAATCGATTTCGGATTGTGCCCCTTCAATGGGGCTTGATTGTCACTTGTTGCCACACGCACACGCATTCAACTTGCGCCACGCCCATTTGGCCCATTGCAATTAGCTTGCTGCTCGGACGCCTTCTCCTCCTCCTCCTCCTCCTCCTTCTGTTCAGTCTTCTTCAATCCTTGCCCGTTCGGCCTGTCATTTTAAATTGCCTGCAGCTGCGCTTTGGCTCGACCTCAGCTTTGCTCCCATCTTAATTAGTTGCTCACCTACCCCCTACCCATACCCCCCTCCCGCTCCCCCTCCCCCTCCTTCTGTGCCCGGCGCCGGCTGAGCGACATCAAATGCAACTCAAATCAAAATGTCATAATTTCCAGGAGACGACACAAGCGACAATACGTCAACATGCCACACAACCACATCCCCCCGTCTCCCCCCTCCCCCTCAAGCTTCTTTTACCCCTATCCCTGTTTAATTAGTCGCCGTCCGCCGTCCGCTCTCACGTTGGCGTCGCAAACAAATCACATAATTATGATTGAGCGCAGCCAACGCCAGCTACCCCTTCCCCTCGGCGATGCCCCTTTAACTCTTTCGCCCCCCCCTCCCCCCTCCCTTCCCCCTCGCTCCGCCCACATGGGCAAATGCAGCGCGGAACTCATCTGTGGCGCATTTTGGGGCTTCCTTTATGTCGCATGGTGCATAAAAATAAATCTGTCCGGCTCGCAGCTGCCGTAATTGAATGCAAATGCCCATCATCCAAAAATACGTGGCATCTATTGGAGCGACCCGCCCCTATCTCCCTATCTCCCTATCTCCCTCTGTCGCCCTCTGTCGCCTTCTCTCCGCGTAAAGGCGACAATCTGCTATAAATTATCGTGTGTAGGTGCCATTCGTGCCCCCAACACCCCAACCCCAACCCCACCCTCCTTCTCCCCTCCCCCTCGCCAAGTGTCCGTATGCCGCAGCGATGCTCCATTGTGTTTGCTGACGATGCGTGGAAAACTAATTTTCCAATTCCCATTGCAGCTCCCTCTGTTGTCAGTCAGCCTCCTCCCCCCCCCCCCCCTTCCCTCCCTCTACATGGGATAGCACTTTGCCTCCTTGGCATGATTTTGCCTTTTTCCTGTGTCGTTTATCTTGGGCACATTTTGATATTCATAATTTGTGGCGTGTGGCTCCGGCGCACTCTTTGTGGCATGTTGTTAAATTGCACCACGTGTTTTTGATAATGACGACATAATTATCCGACTCCCTGCCCCTGCCCCTGCCCCTACCTCTGCCCCTGACAGTCCGTAGACACATTTCGCAGCAGCCTGCAGCCGAGCTTCCAGTGTGCCACGAGACAGTTTCCTTCCGCTCTATATATTTAAGAACTCAGAAAAGAATATCCTGGAGAGTATAACCCATCTTTCTTAACAATTTAGACAACACATTTTCACCCATTTTCCGATTTTTAGTTCTAGTGTGACAAAGCTCATTTGAATATTAAGAAAGCAACGTTTCATTAGAATGCTTTCCGCGAATTTTTCACGCCTGCAGGTGGAATTGCCTCACATAAGGTATCAGATCTTACGGTTTGGGCTCTGCGTTTATCGTCAATTAATCAAAGAGAGAATAACTTGACCAAGCACTCAATGAATCCATTCTAGCCTATGTCAAAGAAAACTTCAACCCAACTTAGTAGCCCGAGCCTGTCATCCGGATGTACATGGGAAATCTACAAAAGGAAATTTTTCAGTGTTTTTCATATTTTCGTACGGAACACAACGAAAACATGTTTGGAAAAGTGTTGAAAAATAAACAGATGTAATCAAATTTTAGTGTTTCGCTACGAAAGGACTAAGTATTATTTGGTACGGTTGCATAAAAGTTATGTTTCTTCTTAATCGTAAGTTTCTGGCTTTAGTTATTTTATATACCCTGTAAACTCTTGCTTCCAGTCTCCGCCGTAGGTTGGATAGGTCTAGGCTAGGTTAGGTCGCTTGACAGGGATGAGGCAAGAGGCAAAATGCCGCATTATGGAGGTAAGTGGGCAGCACTCCCCAACTGGACAACTAATCTCAAGGATTTTCTCTTTACAGAGTGATTACCGTGTAATACATCCACACTGTTAAAAATTATGATTCGATTAAGTGTATCAAAATTTAATGTATCGAGTGAATTTAATAAAAATAAATAAATGTTTATATTAACAGTCGTCAGGTTGATAACATAGTTGACTTGCTGGACATCCGTTATAGAAGCTGTAATCCCCAGCAATAACTGTTCCATTCTACATTTAACTTGACGCTAGATCAGCCTAACATAGCTGCAGTGCGCTGTAGTGCATGCTATTCTGTTAACGAGCTGTAAGCGTAACATGCGCTGTTAACAGCTCAGCTTAAGCATTCTCCCTTCCCCCCTCAACGAGAATGAGCTAAGCGCAGCTGAACAAGAAAGCTTTTGGGAGTGCAAACCCCTTTCTGCAGCGGCGGAGGGTGGGGCGTGTCAGGCACAGAGAGCTGCAAACAAATGTGATGACAAAATGTGAGGGATTTCCGGGCAGAAAAAAAAGGAGAAACAAAAACGAAAACGAAAGGAGTAAATAATAATACAAAGAAACCGCTTGCGGTCATATAGAGCACTAATTTAAATATCATTAGTAAACAATTAAAACAAAAGGAAATCAACAACAGCAAAAAGGAGTCCAAAAGGACGACGTTAACAATGCGGCATTATCGCAAGCCGCCTGTCAACGCGCGCCACGCCCACAGGCGATGGCCAGCAGCAGCAGCAGCAGCAGCAGAAGCGGCGGCAGCAGAAGCGGGGGCAGTAGCAGCAGCAGCAGCAGCTTACATAAATGTCACAGCCGGCGCAGAGTGCGAGCGAGCGAGAGGGAGAGAGGGAAGCAGAGAATAAGTGCGAAGCGCGGACAGAAATCAAAGGGCGACATTTTCTGTTTTGGCTTTACGCAAAGTTGTGACAGCTCCAAAGGGATTGCGAACAACAGAAAGAAAAGGATTGTGTTTTTTTTTTGTTTGTTCTTGTTTGCCTCTGTGTAGGGCAAGGGGCGTGGGTCGGGAGCGGCTGCGTCGACGTCGGCGTCGGCGTCGGCTATTGTGCTGTTGTTTTTGCGTTGACTGCTCGGCATTTACCGTTAATTGCATTCCATATATAATTTGTCAAAACACAAGACAAACCAGACACCCGCCCTCTTCTCTCTTTCATTCTCTTCCCCACCCCTCCTCGCACACTCACTCGCAATAAATCCTGCCCCTGGAGCGAGCCCCTGCCCTGAGTTGAGCTTTTTTTTCTTCTAGTTTATAAACGTGCCTTATCCGCGCACGTGGGCGCACAGCCTGCGGCGATTCACATGGTCCACATGGCCAGGCTGCCGCGGACACGTGCCGCTGCACTTCCCGCAGCCCGCAACCCGCTACCCGCTACCCGCAACCCCTAACCATCAAGTGCACAGCAGCAGAAGCCGTCGGCATCGACCGCAAGTCACCTGATGATGCTTTTCCCATGCCAAAGACTGCTTCTGCTGCTGCTGCTGCTGCCACGCCCCCGCCCATTTGCAGAACTCGCTTGCATGCTTAAGCACAGGGGCGTTGCTATTTGTTTGTGTCTGTGTGTGTGTGTGTATGAGTGGGGGGAGGGGCCGTTATTATGGCATGTTGGTTAGCTAACACTGGAGCGGGGGCTGCGGCTGGGGCTGGGGCTGCGGGGTTTGGTTATGCATACAATATGCTTGTAATATGATCCTGCGTGCTTGAGCATAATTTGTTATTTTAGCTATCACATTATGCTACCTCTGCAGGCCCGCCCCTCACCCCCCTGCACCGTGCCCGCCTACCACTTCTGATTATACTACGCACTTCGTAATATATATTTATACGTAAATGGATTTCTCTCTTGTCTCTTAACATTACAGCGAAACGGAACATCTTTTGTCAGCTGCAGCAGAAAAAAACAATGAGAAATCAAAAAAATCAAGTAAAACTCGTCTAGTCGGGTGTGGTTGACTAGGAGATACCCTGAATCCAACTGAAGCACGACTGTGCTTCTTCTTTCCCCAAATCTAGGCTATGGCTTTTGGGTAATGTCCGATCTTTGCGTATTTATAGCTCTTACGATTCGCTAGTTACAAAGGAAATTGATAACGATTATCATCGAAGTCATAATAATAAGGTAAGTTATCGATGCTTTGAAATATAGGAGGAGTTATGTTTAAAATTTCCTTATACCGGAAATATAGGATGCTTCGATGCTTTGAAATATAGGAGGAATTATGTTCAAATTTCCTTAGTTTTGACCTCTTATAGTTTCCGACCGAATGGCAGATGGACAGACGGAAAGATGGATCGACTATTCGACCAACCTTCTTCGGCGTGTTACATGTAGTTAGACAAAACGAATATACCCATTTTCAGTGCGTTCAGGGTATAAAAACAGCAACGAAAAATATCGATTACATTCGCTGAAAACTTTTTGTCTGTATTCCGCCACAACAAGCTGGCGAAGAAGAAGAAGAAGAAGCAGAAGAAGACGAGCGCATTGGAGCCCCGAATAACATAACCATAAATAAGGGTAATAAAATTGATGCTCAGTTGTCGCTGCAGCTGTCCTGACTAAGAGCAACAAATAAATTTGTTTTTTGTTTTTGTTTTTGATTTTGTTTTTGGCGATCCGGCAATACTCATAACATTAACTCAGCGTCCAATACCAAAGCGAACCTCATCCAATCCCAATCCCAGTCGCATCGCATCGCATCGCATCGCATCGCATCGAACAGCTACCAACTTTTAATGAGCTGACCTGCGATCACGAAGAGATCCGAGAATGGAAATGCACTTAATGCCAATTGGGGGGACAAGCCGTGCAAATTTTGTCACAACATGATGCCACAATTGTGTTTTATTTTAGGGCTTGAAGGGTTTTTGAAAATAATCACTATCAATTGACTGCAATATCTGGAAAGCCATGACGGAAGCAAAGGTAGGCAAAGGTAGGCCCTTCAAGTTAGAGGAAATTAATAAATTTCCTGTTAAACAACACATAAAAAAGCAGTAGATCATGTAATATGTACGCTGAATACGCATGTGTTTAAGTAGTTGCAGATGTATTGGTGAATCCGCGTATTTCTCCCATATGCAAAGCCCTAAGCTGCATGCGTGTGAGCTGTATGTGTGTTACATTTTGTGCATGTATATGTGAGATTTGATTTTCGAGCCCAAAAAAGAAATGCCATTAAATATACATACATATATATAATTGCCTTGGGCTATTTTAGAATTTATTGCATTCAACTGTTTCTTAAGCAATCTACAAATACAACAATTAATTAAAAAAAAAAAAAATGAAAGAATGTCGCTTACATTTAATATTATAACATAAAGAGGAAGACAAATATTAATGCATGTTCGATGCGAGTATTTATGTATGTATATGTATTATCCGGTTACATAAATTTCGCCTACATAATGCATTTCTCAGTTACTTTTATTTGTAACTTTTATTTATTTTGTTTTCAGTCAGACGTGGAAGGATAAACGAATATCTTGATATCTAAATCCATGGGTGCACACAGTATATATATATATATATATATATGTATGTATGTACATATGTGTAATTTAAGTACGTTTTTATCGTATACAGCTGCGTATGTATGGGTATTTATTACTTACAACGAGTACCTAAATGAGTAAGTACTCAATTTCGATAATGAGAGCGCATTCGCTCACACTTGAGCACACTTGCAAAGCAAAGCCGACAAATGCTCTTTTTTCTGTGTTTCTTTTGTTATTGTTGTTGTTGTGACTGTTTTTGTTTCGCTTTGTTTTGTTTTGTTGTTTCGCTGTTGCTGCTGCTGCTGTTGTTGCTGCTGCTGCTGTTGGCATTGTGTTTCGCCATAAGGCGAAACATGCTTAAAGCGGCGAGTTATTAAAAACAATATTCGCCGGATAAGCAGCCAGGCGTGCAATGGGCAAAAAGAAGAAGAACAAGCATCAGCAACAGCAGCAGCAACGGTAACACAGGCGGCAAAGGAGTCGAATTTGGATTGAGGAGTGGGCAATGTGCGGCTTATCTCTCATCTTTGCATTAACACTTCGGCTTTTCGCCGCTTGCTATTGTTGTTGCTATGCACACACACACACACACACGCACGCAAACACATTCGCACACACACACACACACACACACATGGCACAAAATGGCAGCCACTGAGGGCATTTCGCTTATCAGATCAACGCAATCGCCGCGCTGTGACAATGAAAATTTAGCACCTTGAATCATACAAACACAAACACACACACACACACACACACACACACTCTCTCTCTCTCACTCGCTCTTTCTGTCTGTCTCTGTCTCTCTCGCAACGCTTACAACTTCTCAAAGGCATTCGCATTGGTGAGCATCTCACGAGTCAAACGCCAGACCTGCTTGGCAGCCTGCTCCAGGGCGCTGGGGGATTTGCCCTTGAACATGTCGAGGCTGGGCAGAAAATAGTGCGGACAGCGGCGATATTGGAGGCAGGAGATTAGCTGCAGGAATATCCCATTCAAACGGTCCGCAATGCAGCTCTCGTCCCACTCAAAGTCACGCGGATGCTTCTCGCACTCGTAGAGCAGCAGATTCTTCAGATGATATGCGCTGATCGGATTGCCGGGCAGCTCCAGGTGACGGTCACGCAGTGTCTTCAATATGCTCAGGCAGCGACGACGGCAGCCACCTTTGAAGATTCGATCAGATTTTTCAATTGCCATTGATTCCAAGATCTCTCACCAAACCGTCGCTCTCCCTCTCCCTCTCCCCTTCCCTCTCCCTCTCTCTTACCTTGCAGCAGGCGATTCTCAGCCTCGAAGAAACTAAGGACCCAAGCATCGCCCTCCATGCTGGCCGCATTGTTGTTCTTGTTCTGCATAACGATGCTCTCCTTGGAAAGCAGATCGAAGCCCTCGGTCTTGACCTCGGCCACGATATTGGGATGCGGCCAGGGTATATGCGGCATGGGCCAATGCGCCGCCGATCGTGGCCAGATGCCGGAGCATTTGAAGGCCGGCGTTATCTGCACCACAAAGCGCTCCCTGATCCGCAGCTTCACCTCGGTGGTGTCGCCAATCATCTTGACCATATCCCGATAGATGCTCTTGTCGCACGCCTGCGCCACCAATGTCTGGAAGCGGGCGCGAATCTTGCGCGACGACAAATAACCGGAGGCGGTGATGAACTCCACCCAGAGGGACATGGAACGCTTGCGTCCATCGCTCAGCTTGAGCACCGCACAGCCGGGCAGCGTTCCATCGTCCACAAAGTTGAAGACGCCCATCTGGTTTAGGTAGAGCACGATCTCGAACTCATTCGGTGAGATCACCTCCACGCCCTCGAATCTGAAACGGAATCAATAACATTTTACATTTTATTCTTTCAGTCGTGTGCTGCATGTAATCCCTTGATCTTCGATCCGGACTCCGACCGGCTGCCAATCGGATCGGATCTGCGTAATTCCGGCGTCCGGCGGCTGTCATCGCAGCGACCCTCGAGCTGCTGCCAACAACAATAACAATAACAACAACAAGTGCGATCCTCAATCGCATTAAAAACATGCAATGTCATTCCCGTCAAGTCATGCTCCTCGGCTCCAGCTCAATCTCGCTTGCGTCCACCTGGACCGTGACACAGCGGCCGCTGATGCCCGATTTAACAGCTCTCGATATACATATATTATTAACTCTCAGTTCCATAATTAATTCAGGTCTCATACATTTCGGAATGATATCTTCCATTGGAAAATCTATCTTCGGGTGACTCTTTCTAGCTATTTAATATTCCAATCGATAAATATATCTATAAAACTGTTCCGACTGATTGAATGACTGACTGACTGATTGATTGATTGATTGATTGATTGACTGATGAAACACAGCCCAAACGTCAAGATCTTCAAAGTTAAAAGTTTTACTTTATGTGACGGGGTTTTCGAAAATTCCATGCGAAAGCGTGGAAAATTGGTGGAAATCGCTTGCATGAAACATTTTTATGTATCCTTTTGAGCATAAAGCTGATTTTAAAGAGCTTAGTATTTCACATCCTTTCTGATTGGAAATTAAGGGGCAAAGGTCCCTTGCAGCCTTAAGTTCATTTAAAATTATGGAATTAGTACGTGTCTCAGGAATTCTTCAAGTCCAGCCCACTTTAAAATGCAATTTGGGACGTGGTGTTCAATGTAATACAGATAGATTAAGTTTTCCACAAGTGGAAAATGGGTGGAAAAGTATTGTTTAAACTTTGAAGCAAATAACTTGCCTATGAAAAAGCCAAATAAAACACTTTTTAATATATAGTCGCAATAAAGATCTTCTGTTCAGATACTATGCGATGGGAAATATATCTGAACAAAAGATCTGCTTAAATATATAAACTTGTGGAAAATATTTAAAATTGTTTTTAATTGTTTGCAAATGTTTAAAAGAAATCGAAATCAATATTTAGATCCATATTCAAAAATAAATGCTCGCAAATAAAAAATACTAAAAATATTGTTGAAAAATGTGAATTTTAAATTCTGAAGATCTAAATAGAATCTGATATATATGTTATATAATATTTCCAAATTGTATTTGGAGTTTGTGAGGAGAATATATGATATTATTGGCTGAGAATAATACTAGATGGTCTGCGAGAATGATGGAAGTGTATTGATATTTAAGAATCGGGACAAAATATTTTATGCTAAGGATAATGAATATGAATTATCCTTAAATAAGTGTCAATGCATGATCTTCAAGATCTTGTGGCTCTTTTTGAACCTTCTATATATCGAAGATCGATATGATTTTGAATAGATCACATTCTAAAAGAACTTTGGCTGAAAGTGGCAAAGAGCTAAGGTCGCTGGGGAAGAGGGATGAAAATGTTTGCTCTAAAGCTGAGGGATGTCCACTCACCTGCCATTGCACTCGACCAGGCTGGATATAAAGCGCGGCTCCTGCAGCTCCACCTCCTTGAGTATGTCCTGGACAATTTTGCAGATCTCGCGAATGGCCGTTGCCGTTTTGAAGATGCGCGCCTGGACGCGCTCGGCGCAGAAACGATTCAGCTGGTAAATCATGCGCGTCTGGGCGGCCATCATGTCCGGCGGCACCAGCATCTTGACGATATGGATGTGCCGAGTCGCGGCCCAAAGCTGGCGGCTAACAACAAACGGAGATGCGGACGGAGTCGAAGACGTTGACGGTGCGCCGTGGATGATGCCAATTATGCGAGCTAACAGAAATTGGCAAACGGAATCGGAAACGGGCGTCCAAAAGCGAGTCGAGGCCGCAGTGGGCTCGGGCTCGGGAGCGGGCTCGGGAGCGGGCTCGGGATCGGGATCGGAAGCGGGAGCGGAATCGGGATCGGGCGACACACAAGACAAAGGAACAATTCAATTGTGAGTTACGTTGACAGCCCGAGTGGCAACAATGGGGCACAAGTGGAGCACGACGAAAACTCTTGTATGCTTTGTATTTATGTAGGCTTTTTGTTTTGTTGCTGTATCTGCAGCTGTATCTGCAGCTGTATCTGTATCTGTATCTGTATCTGTATCTGTTGCTATATAGCTGTTGCTGCTGCGAAAATCGGCGCGGATTAGCCGCGATTGCGTTAATGCGGATGCGTTATGGCGAGGCCGGAGTCGTGTTGTCTTCTTGTCGTGCCTGTCGAATGCCTGGCAACGATGCAAACAAACACTCGATACCGATTCAAACGAAAAGATACGCAACGCTGTCGACGTCTACCGAGTCCGAGTCCGAGTCCGAGTCCGAGTCGGAGTCCGATTCGTAGTCGTAGTCGTTGCTGGCGTTGTAAATCTCGCGGATATTTACAGCTTTGGCAGATAAAGCGCTCGGCCCAGGCACACAGCCTCGGGCGCTAAAAACTGCAACTCGTTGTTGCGCTCGCTCTGCCTCCGTGTGTGTATCTGTGTGTGTGTGTGTGTATCTGTGTTTGTGTGTGTGTGCATCCGCCATCTCATGAATGGACTATGAGTACACCCACAAAGGCAGCTGCAGCTGCGAGCACGGCTACATACACAGATACAGATGCAGATGCAGATACAGCAACAGATACAGATACAGATACAATTGCAGTTGCAGATACAGATGCAACTGTCAACGTGTCACGTGACACTGGCCGCGTATTTGTCGCCTGGTCTCGTGCCAAGCCACAACCAAAACAACAACAACAGCACAACAGCAAAAAATCAATAAGATACTGTATCTGTATCTGTAAGATACATAACTGCACAGAGCACAGCAACTGCAAAACTAACTGCGGCGCTGACTAATCACGCCTCGTGAATGTATCTGCCGCGCGCGTATCTGTGTATCTGTGTATCTGTGTGTGTGTGCTGTATCTATGTGCGCGCGCTGCGGCATTGGCTGGCGCAAGCTCCGCCCAGCAGAGCTGAGATACACACGAGCGAGCGGAGCGCAAGGGGCCCGCATGCCGTCGGCCTGTCGCCCCGTCGGGCAGTCGCTGTCACGCTGCGGCGCGCTCTTTGATCTCTCTCGCTCTCTCTCTCTCGCTCTCTCTCACTCTGTGTGTGTGTGTGTGTGTGTAAATTTAATTTGTTAAATACATTTTGTGCCAGACGCCGTCGTACACGAATTGTGTGCAATAATTTATCTGAAATGTGCACTCATTTAGCAACGAGCGGCGAGCAACCCTCGTCCAACGACAACGCCGATATCTTTATATCTCACGGATACACGAACACACGAAAAGTTTTACATTTCACAGATACATTCCCAGGCACAGCTACACACATTCATAAATATGTCGCCGGGATTAATGTGCCAGTTGGCAATTTTTGACAGCGTTGTTCCAGCCAAACGAATGCTGTCTGCCAACCACCCCCCCCCCCCCCTTCACCACTCCCCCTCTATATGCACCCTGCCTACCTGAAATACCCCCTTCGCAAGTTATGTGCATAAAAAACATGAAATATCCTATGCCATACACACAAAAGTATCTTTGACTAAACCGATTCATAGCCAGCCCGTGCGTCACCTTCCGCTATCGGATATTCAAATGTCTTGAAGACCGCTTGCAAGACATGTCTTCCGCATTGTCATCGTGGACTAGATCAAAGCATTCGTCAAAATTTGTTTTGTTGCTTTCAATTAGATAGAAATCTTTTGCATTTGGCACTAATTCAAATTGATGGCAAACATAAACGGAAAACAAACAGCACATAAAACATGAAAAACATTCAAAAACATTCAAGAAGCAAAAAAAAATATAAAAGAACATAAAATCGAAAAATTATTTAACAAAATGCCGAATTTCAAATGCCCTTACAGATTTTCTTTGTGATTTTCGCACAATAGAAATATCAGATATAATCTGATCGGATCCGGCAAAAACTAAAGGCTAGCATTTAAAATCTCAGCTTGTCGTATTCACTATAAACATATATATAAAGAAGTTATTAGATATATATATATATATATATATGCATATTCCTGATCAGAACAATGAGCTAAGATCTTGCACACAACTTTGCAAACGTTGTCCAGATTAATTTTTTGCCTGATATATCTTTAGTTTAGATATCTGAGAAAACTTAAAGTTCATAATTCATGACAGCTCCATCTCTCTAGTTCTCTGTATTGCTCTCTTCCCTATATTTATATATTATAATTACATATATAATTTATATATGTTATATATAATTTCCTAAACAATCCGTATATGCAGCAAAATTTGATTTTATATTTGTTAATATAATAACATTTGGCTATTTCTGTAAATCCAGGCAGAAGAAGGCATTTTATAGCCCATAAGGTATATGTATGTATATATATATGTATATATATATATATATTTAGTATACATTTTAGTTTAGCTGGCTCAAGGTCCGTGTATATTTACTAAATTGTCTATATTTCTCAGCATCAACAGCATTCGACTCTCTGTCCGTCTCGACGAACACGTCTATTGAACAGACCCTAAGAATTAAAGACCCTCAGGAATTCAAGAGTTAAAAAAGAAAAGCTATCGAAAAGCGTATCGATAAATTATCGATAACTCCTTTCACTTTCCATGAATCGATAAATATGAATAGGAAGACGTAGTTGGTTTTTCTTAAGCATGCCTCTGCGATTATCAAATTATTATTATCGTATCAAGCATATATCCCATCTTTTCTGAAGAATTAATTTGTTTGTTTGAAATAAACCCATATTTACGACCTGAAAGTTTGTAAGTTGATCGGGAAATAAACCCAGTTGTTACCCAAGAAATGAGAAGAGATGGAAAGGGACTTGGGATATCTTCTAGTTGATCACTTTCGATTAGAACATTCTTGACATTCTTGAATTACGGATCATTTTGAATTTATGTTATTTTCTTATCAATCACATGATTACCAGCAGCTTATATATGGCGGGTACACCCCGGCCCTGCCCGTGGCACGTATGTATAAAGTGAATTCTCTCAAAGATCTTTAAAATTAATTTGAAAACCGATGAGACGGTAAACAAAAAACAATCATAGAACCGTTTTCCGCCAATTTACCACTATTTCGGGTGGAATTGGAAATGAATTTGAACGCGAGACGTCACCCACCATATCTTTGACCCCCATTTCCACCGAGGAATGGATTTGTTCGAAAAGTGTGAAACACTCCCTAAATGAATTTGAACAAAGATCTTTGAAAATGAGTTTGAGGCCGATCAGATGGTAAACAAAAAAGTTGCATGCAAACGTTTTCGCGATTTTTCCACACATGCGGGTGGAATTACCCGAAACCCAGTCAGTAAGTCAGAAGAAACAATTTTATATATAGAGATTAATTTGTAACTACGCACTCAACCGTAAACTCACACGAAAGATTATTTCTGTCATCCAGCAACGGGCGAGAGACGAACATTTATATAATCACTTAACTAAAAGAAGAGAAATAGTGAGAATTGCATGGAAGAGCAATACATAAAACAAGTAGTTGTTACTTGTACTTTCAATATAAAAAGTTATGTATATAATACGCACCAGATTTCAAAATAGTCACATTTTAAATTGATGCCACCTCCTCCGCCAAAGACATAGTCACCGCCTCCGTCAATATTAAAGCCGCCTCCTTCTCATTTGTTGGAGCTGCCGTATCCCCCAATATTAAAGCCGTCGCATACTACATATCCGCCGTCTCCTCTATAGTTGAAGCCGCCTCCTCAAATATTAAGCCGCCATTTCCTCCTATGCTCAAGCTGCCGTCTCCTGCACAGTTCAAGCCGTTTCCTCCTCAATAGAGGCGGCTGCCGCCTCCTCCTAAGTTGAAGCCGCCTCCTCTACTTGATGTGAAGCCTATGAGGCTTACTTGAGTTCATGAGAATCACGTAGTAGGGCGTTTATGAAATATATGTTTTTTTTTTTTTTTAAATTGCAGCGCAGTTAGCGGGAAACTTGGTCATGCACATAAACATACATTATATATGCATACATTCATTTACTTATATGAATGTCTAAATAATACATACTTGCATACATACATGCATACATACATGCAAACATACATGCATGCAAACACATATCAATTCACACATTTACACACATTTATACATAAAACATACAAAAAATAACAAACATACTTACAAGCATTCATACACACACTCACATACTTACATGCCCTTATACCTACATAGATGCACACACACACATACATGCACACACACATGCATACATTCATACATGCACACATACATACATATATATATACATACCTACATACATACAAACATGCATACATACATTCATACATACATACATACATACATGTACATGCATACATACATGCACACATACATACATATATACATAGGCGATTTTTCCGCACATACGGGTGGAATTAGCCAAAACCCCGTCTTAACGTGCGCCTTCATCACATAAGCTTCCTAGCTCTAACGGTTTGGGCTGTGCGTTGATCACCAATAAGTCGTTCAGTCAGTCAGTCAGTCAGTCAGTCAGTCAGGAAAAACAGTTATATATAGAGATATACCTATTTATTTATACACCAATTATAAGTGAGCTACAACTATTTGGAATAAATCAATAGCAAATAATTTCAACTTATCGTAGGTCAATTTGTAAATGTTTTGTTCGATTCCGGAAGCGCTTTTATTGACCTGCATATCATTGTCTATAATCAAAGTTGTCAACGATCTATGCCGCCCCCCCCCCCTCCCTTCCAAAACCACGCCCCTCACCCACTTATTGTTTAATATATATGTTCTGTCTTGTGATATACGAGCGTCTATTGGATTTCGATTTGGACGCGGAGTGGATCAGTGAAGGATCGCGGCCAGGTGGGAGCGGTGTTAGCAACAGCATTTGGTTGATTTTTAGCGCGGGATTTCCACACACACACACACACACACAGTGAGAGAGAGAGATAAGAGTGGGCATATCTGCATAAATTTAAAACAAAGGGCGACGCAGACGGGCGGACAGTGAAACGTCGCGACAGACGGACACAAAGAGCAGCAAATGGTAAAAAGTGGAAACGAGCATGTACTATAAATTTGTGTGCCTGTGTGTGCCTGTGTGTGTGTGTGTGTGTGTGTGTGTGTGTGTATGTTTTTCCCGTATTTATATATCTCTTAGATCTTGAAGAAATTTGAATATAATTTATGTGCAATCGTCGCGTTTTTCGGTTGGTTTATTTGCTTGCCCTGCCCCTGCCCGTGCCCCTGCCCGTGCCCCGTCCGGCTGTTGCCCCTGTTCGAGCCGTGGCCAACGCTGCCCCTTGTCACAGCCCCTGTCGCATTGGCTCTGGGACTCCGGTTCGCTCT